TCTTTGTTGCGTCTTACAGTAGCGTCAAACTGATTGACGCTAAAAGAGTACAGGGGATAGTTGGTGAGTGTATATATGTGTATAGAGTAAATACGCGAGGAAGAACAGAAAAAATCGATGTTTATACTATTAAGCATACAATAAACAATAACATGTAGTTTTAAGTATGTATTATACAGATATATTTAAAGAATGACGTTGACAACTGTGAGTGGCTACTGTCCTTTGCAAAAAATTTGCTGTGCTGTATGCATTGCGATCAAAATTTAATGTTTCTAAGACAGTGATTTATAGAAGTTAAAGGTAATCTTTCACCATTTAAGTGCAATAAAACCTAAACAAACAAATATTATTTTTTATTTATATATAGTTCATCAGAAACATTCACTTTCTCTCTTATTTTATGGTTTTATCTTATAAAATAAATCCTTTTATAACTATTATTTGATACAAACATTTAAAACAATTATTTTAAACAATTAAACATTGCATCTTGGTCGTTCCGCAATTATTAATATTTTATTGGTGTGACAAAATAATGATGTATGTGATTGTACATTTTCTATATTCTTCTGGCCTGATTTCATAAACATTTTGGTTCAAATTAATTCAAACAGTGATTGTTCATTTTCACTCTAAGAATATAATGATCTATAACTATATTTATTATGTAGTGGAAATATTTCAATTTCATTAGCTTTTAGGTGCCTCGGTTATCTCAAACTTATCATTCATTTAATCTGTGCATATATGTATATTACAAGTTACTTGCACAAAACAGATAAGATTCTAACAATCACGTAATCTACAGTTAGATTATAATCTAATATGATAAATGTATGATACCTTGATGTTTAATGGTCAATGTATTACCAACACAAATTCTCAGCAAAGAACAGAAGTCACATGCACATACTTTGTTCTCTGAACTTATTACACTTCATGCATTTAAAAAAGCGTTAAGTAGATGATAAGTATTTATTACTATTATGTAGTTATTTGTACTAGATACGAAAACGTGCGATACGTAGGTATTTAAAAAAAAAAGTCAAGAATTATGTGTACCATAAAAGAGAATGAATTTTCAAAATAAGAGAGAGGAATCTCTTATTTCTGAAATTTTATGAGTCAGATACAGTATGGAAACGACACGCCGTTACATTGTTAAGTCTACCTACGTGTACGTACCTAATAATACAATACTACTGAAAAGTTAATCAAACGAGACATCTTGTTTAGATGCGGCCTTCGTCAATATCGAAGCAGGTCTAAATACTGATATTATATGAACGGTAATGTGCTAACATTTACTGTCTCCGTTGCGAATAAATCGCTACAGAATTGTCTTTTGAGCAGTTCACAAACTGTGAAATGTATCAGAAATAAATACCATTTAGAGAACTATGAGACTCACGTGTTTAACTCTTAGTATTACATTATTTTATACCCTCATGATAATAACTCGCTTTTACGTAATCAGTTTTATTCTTTTAACAAGTATTAACATTTTTGTTCATGCAATGTACAGTATAGACAATAACAATTAGACCTACATATATAAAATCATTTTCTTACTGCAAATATGGCTGTAATATAATTAAGAAATCATAGACAATATGTAAAAAGTTAATCGAAGATACCCTGAATTAAAATTCTGAAAGATATCAATTTGAAACAAATACACCAGTCCCTCCATTTGCGCGACACCTTTTTACGCGGTCTTTTTTTACGCGGCATATTATAACACTATTTACGCGGTATTGTTTATACGCGATCTAAATTTACGCAACAAGAAAATATATTTTTCGAAAATTTTTAAAAGTAACAAGTATAACAACGATAAGAAAATTCATAGTGCTTGTTTTCTACAAGCCGGTTGTGATTATTCAGCAATGTTCAAGCATGTCAGTGCTGTATGAGGTAAGGGCAAAAATACATTACGTTGCGCTAGTCATCGTATGTGTACTTGCATAAAAATCATCGGTAAGGCAATATTTACTATAAAAATACAGACGTTAAAATAATTCGTAAACAGTCGGCCTTAGCAACGGTATATTATTCAATGCACAGTAAGTAAGCAACGTTTTCACCGTACCGTTCAGATTTATAATGTCTGTTGTAATTTTAACCCAGAAATGTTTAACAAACGTTCGATAACACAAAGAAAGAGAAAATCTATATCTTTGGATATGAAAATGAAAATTTTAAATCAACTCGAAGAAGGAGAGAAACCGTCAGCAATTGCTAAGGCGTACGGAATAAATGAATCCACTGTCCGAACAGTCAAGAAAAGGAAGGAAAACATTAAGAGCAGTGTGGCCTCTGGAACCTTAACAAGTTCGCAATGTTCGTCGTACACAAGAAACCCAGTAATAGAAAATATGGAGAAAGCACTGATGATTTGGATGGAGGACAACATACAAAAAAAAATACCTATGAGCAGCATAATGATAAGGGAAAAGGCTATGCATATTTTTAACAGGTTAAGAGAAGAAGCTTCGCCGATTGATAAAGTGGATAATTTTTCTGCCAGTAAGGGATGGTATCAGAAATTCAAAAAAAGATATTCGTTACGAAACCTTTTAAACGAGGGTGACATTAATGATTTACTAGTAGATCGCGCATTAACCGATACTGACTTAATTCATATGATATCTGAAACCCAACCTAACGGCGAATGCGATAGTAACTACGAGGAGACAGATTCATTCACTGCAGACAATCTTTATAAAGCTCTTCAGTTAGCCACAAAATTGGAAACTGCCATTGTAGACATTGATCCAAACATTCAACGAGCCTCAAAATTTCAACAGGATTTAAAGAAATGTTGCAGCGAGTATCAACAAATTTATGAAAACTTAACGAAAGTAAAGTTTGAGAACAAATCGTCCGAAAAGATTAAGATTGAAACTGAAGTTGACCTTCCGAATATTTCAAGTGACGAGAACGAGGAATATGTGCCGATTAAAAAGATAAGATTAAAGAAAAATATTGACACCGAATGAAATGTACTTTCATTGTTTGAAGTGTCATTATTATCTTTTTTTTGTTGAACTTTATGAAATAAATATGTATTTCTAAAACTTATACCAGCATTTCTTTCTAATATTCTGCCTTCTTTTGTACCGACAGGCTCTATTCGCGTGATTTTCATTCGCATAAAACGAATCCACGTGGAATGAATATTTCGCGTAAACGGATGGACGGGTGGACTTACCTTAATAATTTTCTGTTAGTCATTTACAAGAGCTATATTTTTGAACAAAGTAGTTCCTTCAATAAAATAATCCAATTCTGTGCATGAACATATACATAACGCGTTAATCTGTTCCCTGTAAAAATATTAGTAGAAAGAAACATTGATCAAAGGAGCATCGACAGAAATTTGCTCACGTGTACGCCAGTTTTACATATTTGCGTATGAAAAATTTTTTATTGAAAAATGTTCTTTCACGCTACAACGTCAGTGTACCTTCGTCTATTTAACGTTATAACAGTACAAAAATTGCATTTTTACAAGTTATCCAGCTTACGTGACTAAAATATCCCAGTTAGCAATCTGACAATTCAAAAGCTACGTCTCTTATAATAATAACAAAAGGCGCCGTAGTAGAGGCATTCTTTGGCGACAACGCAATCATACCAGCCTCGACCAAATCATTCCTGTTCCTCGTTACAAACGGATGGACACGAGGGTCCGGATGCAATGAACACGTGTCGTCGAACGTCGCTCGAAAAATCTCCTCTTTCTACGTTTCAATGAAAATTCGTGTTTCACTTACGGCTCACTAAATTTGGCTGGCCAACGGTTATTCTCAGGCCGTCGCCGCTGATCCCGGCTCGAGTCGTTCCTACAGTCACGTGAAAGGTCACAAATCTATTTCCGTGATACGAGGAAATGAAAAAAAAACACGTTTGACCGGTGAACCGTAACGTGCGAACACCTCGAATCGAGTATAATTACACAGAACCTATATAGAGACCATTGGTTTACGTACACTGTCGTTATTACACATTAGTATTTTACGTTCGCCAGCCAAAGCACGCCTAAAAGAAGAAAAACAAAAAGAGAGCAATAAGCCCTCTAGGTTCCAAGGAGGCAAGTTTCACGCCATGATCAACCGCGTCCCGCGTTCGGTTCCGCGAATCCTTCGAACATCTATCGTTTAACCTACCGACGCAAATTAGTCGACAGTCACCGTTTTGCTACCTGGGTTATCATCAACGACGCTTTCGGCCGGAAACTTGCCTTTTTTCAATTTTATATAATATATATATACCGCCAGCGAAAATGTTTCCGGTTGAAACAAAATCCCTACGTGTTTTTTTCTTTATGCTGTTCTATACATATATATATATACACACACACACATGTATATATTTGTATGGTAAGTAGTATATATATATATTTACATACACGTCCCTACAAGTCGATCACCTGAAACGCAAGCATCCGGCCAAATATCATGCGCTAGCATTTTAACAATTACGCTGTGTTCGTCGTGGTACAGGGTTCTTTTTTCTAAAGCGAATTAAAGCAAAGTGCAACGAATGGATAAGCGTTGATCGAACGTCCGTTTATAAAATCCTGAACGCTCGTAAAACGTTGCCCCCGTACGGTTCCAAGAGCAACGGGTAAGTCTATTGTTCGAACGGGGCTTCCCCTTATCCATTCGATGCCATCAAATCGCACACACGCCGTGTTTCTGCCCGAAAACCACCGGATACCGCGCCCCCGCGTGCACCAGTCGTTTTTCCCGACCGAACATCGCCCTGAACGAAGCCGGCGCTTCCCCCAGATCTCGATATAACGACAGTGTAAGTACTAAGTACAAGAGTGTTTTCTCGCTTCTACTCGTCTCGACTACGCGATGATGTGATTATCTTACCGTTGGACTTGTGAACGACGCGAACGTCGCGTGGGGTGGGGCTCACAGAAATCTCGCTCGTGGTTTAACGGTCGTCGATCTTTGGCAGAATCACGCGCCACTCACAATTACATTACTTACTTACATCATATACACAATCGTTCGATGCGGATAATATTTCTCTGCG